AACCGGCTTCGTGCCAAGGTGCCTCCACACTAAGACCGGAAACAAAACTAAGGACGAAGGGCCACAAGCAAGCTGAGCAATGCTGCAAACCTATAATCCTTTTAATAAAGTCGCACAGCAAGCTGCGCATAACCCCTTTGTCTGATATTCCGGCACAGCAGGCACCACCAAACTTGCCTCCAAACTATTACGGGCTGGTGTCGCCCACAAACAAAGTAGCAGTTGGAAGCTCTCTGGGTGGCACGATATTTCACAGTCATTGGTAGACTGCCGATGCAACATGACATGAGTGAAGAATTTCATGAAGTTTTAAAATTGACATGTCATGGGTCTTTGACTGAGAGTGCATGCTGGTTGTCATCTTGATTGACAAGGTTTTCTACCGTGGTTCATTCTCAAACAAGGTAGCCAGAGCGGGCAATTTCAAAAAAAACAAATTCAAAAAACATGACACTTGCTGGAATCAGGGTGAATGCAATGCCAAAGCACGTGTCAGCAGATGTTCTGGCAACATGACACCTTCCAGATCAAGTGGATTGCATGGACACGTGTCCGCAGGTTGCTGGGAAATATGATCCCTTCCAGAATTTTAAGAAAGGCAACGCATACTTGCAGGTGCTGCGCAGCATGGCATCTTTGAAATCTTGTACACATGTCTGCACGCTGTTGGGCAACACCATACATGCTATGGTTTCTTGGCAACATGACCATCTAAAATCAGGTCCAATTCAAGGCCAAAGCACATGTCTGCAGGTTTATGGAAAACTCAAAAATTCCGACTCAGACCTGCATGAACGTTTGCAACGCCGGTCAGCTTGTCTAAGGCAGCTGACTCCTGCGACTTCTTTCAGGTCGACGTTTTGGGAAACCCCCATCGTTGAGGCCTGTAAGAGACAAAATCCTCAGACAACACGGGTGCAAATAAGTCACTGACAGCATTCTACGCATCACATGAACTACAAATGAAAGCATTGCGGGACCAGTAGCAAAAGTCCACGTGCCAGGTCTCCCCCGCCTACATTCAAGATCTCCATGAGGATGGAGGACAAGAAGCAAGCAGGCGAGGAACGAGTTAGCATTTTTTCATAAGCAAAGAAAAACAAAAATGGTGGTTGGTCCAGAAAGATCAAGTCCATGTCAGCCAGAACAACTTGACTTGTCGTTCCAGAACAGCTCCAGGATGACGCATCCACTACGCGAGAGGTTGACCTTAGAGGCTGTCATCTGCACGCTTGTGCACGTGTGGTCACCAGGCGTCATCTCCAACACCGCACTGCGTAAGACTCGCGCACTTCTTACCGCATTGTGTCTTTCTTTTTTCCAAAATAGTCTCTTCTGCATTGATTTCAATGGTCAGTGGGCCAAACTAGCATGCAATGCGCAGTTTAATGACCTGGACTTCTATGGAAGCCAGATTGCCTGTTAGACTAGCAGGACTGCGGCGTGTGGGATACATCTTAACCGTTAAGAGCAGCACAGCTCTTGCGTTGCGTTCAGCATGCAGAGCATCATTATTGGCGTAGTTGCGGCCGCCCTGAACGCGTTTGACGCAGAGTGCTCAGCAGTAATGCTTTGATCCGGCAGGCAGTCCAAATTTTTTTGGCTGGCAGCCTCTAGATCCCCAAAGCTTTGGAATCAATGGCTAACTTCTTGGAAGATGTCTGATAACTTACTTACACCTACCTTCCGTGAATCGAACTTGATGGCAGGATCCTCGTGAAGATTTGTGCCTTATTGCCTGCATTGGAGCGCGACTCTCTTGTAAGCTGATAAGCTGCGCCTTCAAAAGAAACCACCTTTGTTTGGCCTTATGACAAGAAATTTGCCTTTCTTGGATTATCACGCAGGCAGACTTCGCTAGATGAATGCCTGGAGGTGTTGTTCAGCAACCTGCAGACTTTATATTTAGATTTGAGAACCAGATTTGAAAGACGTTACGCAAACCATCCTGCAGCTACGCACTTTTCCTGCTTTTTCACCAGAGGCATGCAGCTCTCAAGTTTTCTACAATCCGCGGACTCTTGCTTCGGCTTTGTTTTCAACCAGTTTGAGAAAGTGAGATGTCAACCAACAACCCGCGAACATGTGCTTTGGCAGGAACCTTAACCACATTTTGAAAGCTGTCATAGGGCCGAGCAACCTGCTGATGTGTACTCTAGCCCTGCACTCCACCAGATTCTAGAAGGTGTCATGTTGCCTGGCAGCCTGCAGAAATGTGCATGGTGTTTGCGTGAGTTTTGGAAAATGTCACGTTAACCAGCAACCTGCAGAAAAGCGCTTTGGCCTTGCGTTCAAACAGATTTTGGAAGATGTCGTGGCGCCAAGCTACCTGCAGACATTTGCTTTGGTGTCATGGTGACAAGCAACCTACATGTGCTCTGGCCTTGCACTCAATAAGTTCTGGAAGGTGTCACATTGGCCAGCAACTCAGCGTCCCGTCGCACGCGGGCTTTCCAGTTAGCCTTCCTGCTTGGCATAGTTTTCAACCAGTGCAGACACAATGCTCAGCATGTCCGCGTTGACCTCCTCAAACCACATGCTGACGGATGCCTCTCAGAGACCTGAAGATGTGCTGGCGCACTGTGCGGTCGGTGCCATTCTCACGCGGGCTTGCAGTTGAAGGAGGGCCCCTGAGACCAGCAGATCGCTCGGGTCTCTTGCCGGTTTTGGGGCGCGGGGAAAGGTTGAGAGGGCTTCCAAGGAGCGGCTCTAGGCACGGCCAAGACATAGGATGTGGTCGCCGCAATCAGAACCCTAGATCCCCGTCGCCCTGGAGCAGGGCATCTTCAAAACAAGTCGGGTCCCACTGTGTGAAAGCCTGTGCCGCTTTGTCTTCGGTAATGTCATCCTTGAATTGAAGTTGCGTATCCTAGGTCCGCGACGGAGCAAGGGAGCAGGGACATCGGTGGTTCAGTGAGTAGTCAATGCGTCGGCGACGGCTGCCACTGTGCACGGGTCCAGTGGCCGGAAGCTCT